GTTTCCTTGGCACTTGTATGACATGATGTTGTAGATACATATGTATGCTGTATATATTCTTTTTCTGTCTCTAATATACTTAACGACTACAAGTGTACTGTACCGAAAGACTCGCCAATGGACACACACAGAAGACTACATGAATCCGTCGGTCATTATATACACATAAGCTGTCCCATATACCCGTAAGCTGTGGGGTTCTTTGTGTACGTCTCAAGCATGGTAGCATCTCTAACGCAGCTAGTGTTCCTAGTAGCTTTGCTGACAGAATAGCTGCAAAAACAGACACAGCTGCATGGGAAAAGCATGCAGTGAGAGCGAGAGCTCTAATACATATAAAGTCGTAGTTGATGACAAACTTGAAGTCCCGAAGCTCGAATCCGCGCCACCTGATGTGGGTAACCACGAGGATAGTGGACTGTTTGGTGCGAAGGCCGCGAAGGGCCTGCTCCCGCCCAAACTGGCCCTTGCCGCCGTGGAGGCCCCGACAGGCCTAAATAGTTGACGTGACTCTGGCTTTCAGTATGGATAAGGATGTTACCGGGGCTATCGATGACCGTTCTCTCAGGTGACCAGTCTACCGTCCAGAAGAGCATCTGCGCGTCGTCGCGTGCCTGGGCGATGATGCGAGACAGCTGGCCTCCGAATCCCGAAACCAGCATGCGGTCAGCTCCGTTCACCACAGGATAGGTTGATCGGTCCAGGTTTACTTTGAAGCGGTGGTCCTCCAGGCCGCGGATCAGGTCCTAGGGAGTGCTCACCATCAGAGCGCAGCCTGCCTGATCATCGTACAGCTGCGTCTTGCTCTCCTCGGTCGTGATCAAGCAAATGGTGCGAATTTCATGGGGCGTCGTAGGCACTCACCGTCTTTGCTACTTTCAGGGTCGTCTCGCGGACGGGCACGAGTATTAAGGCGATCGTCTATTGAGGGGGCTGGGCCAGGATATGCTGGATGACAGCCAGGATTGGCTCCAGGCTCTTGGCTCTACAGGCTCACTCCGCGTTGCTCCAGTGTTCCGCGCATGTGCCCGCTGAAGGGCGTCTCCCGAATTTCCCTCAACGGTTGGGGTAGCAGCTTATGACAAGAGCTGCCGATGCGCTGGAGGCTTATGCCGCAACGCCTGCGGTAGGTCTCCTCGTCCTGGACCATTTGCTGAAATGGGAGCACGTCTTCGTGGATCCTGACCCTTTGACGCTTTGTCGTGGACGCGAACCCTTTGGAGTTCGGGCTGGGGCTGCTTGAGCAAGAGCTGACTGCCGGAAGATTGCGTGGCATGGTCCGACCACGAATTCGTCTGTGGCTGCTGCGACCCGCGCTGCCGAAGATGAAAATGGGGGAGATGACCTCCTCTTCCGAGAAGGATTTTGTGGCAGCTATCGACCTCAGCTGCCAGCTGACCTCACGTGTCCGTTCCTTGCTGCCACCATGCCATGGCTTCAATTGGGTCCATTGCTTGATTAGAAGGAGAACTTGCAAAGACCATTGTGCACCATAGTGTGTTGTGTGTGCGGGCAGGGACACGGACACGGACACGGCCACGGAGACGGAAATGGAGTGGCTTTCGGCAGTCGGCATTCCGACATTCCGACATTCCGGCATTCGACTTGCGGATGTGGAGCGCACTCCACTCCACTTAAGCGTTATTTAATCGAAGCGGATAGCTGGGACTGTGGAAACGCATTATCTGCCCCCGTTCGGTTATCAACGGATAATTGGCGAGTGTGTGAGTGAGTGTTTGGTCAATTAAAAGCATTCGCTGGCTTTTTATCAAATTCAATTAGTCGCCGACGACGAAAGCCAAACAAAATACCGAAAAAAAATAACCAAAAGAGAAACAGAAACCAACAATCATCTTGAGGTGGCGGGTACAGGCTGGACGAATGTCATATTCACATTCATATTCGTATTCGTATTCATATTCAGTTCGGACGGAATGGACGGAGGAAGACGGCTATTCTAACTATAGAAAATTCGTATAATTAACTAGATAAATTGGCAGGCAATTGGTTGTACAGATCGTTAAGACAATTCGCTAATGACCGCCAGAGACGACTAACGATCTCCTTTGGCTAATTGGCCTCCGGGCACGTAGAACCAGCCGCCCAAGCAGTCGCAGTGGAGTTGAGTGCTAGATGGTGGAGATGGTGATGATGACGTGGCCATCTAGACGAAATTACGGGTCTTGTCCAGATGATGAAGACATCAGATCGCTGTATCTGAACTGCCGACCGTTCAAGGAGATTTGCTTCTGCCCCGACTCCACCCATGTTCGCGCTCCTTTTTGTAGCTCTCGGATCTGTCGTAGAGTTTCAATTAAAGTTAAATTAACGCTTCGTGACACACACAATTATCAAAAATTATATTTACGCTTATGACATTTCCGGCAGCCCCAGCTCCGCCGAACAGTTCCCGGTCGGTCCCGCTGCCCGTGTGTGCCTTACGCAAAATGCCACTGTATGCCCGTGTATGCCCTGAGTCTGAGTCATTTCATTTATTTCAAGACAGCACAGACAGAAGATCAAAGCGACTTTATGATTATGCTGCACGCATATCCATCACCATATCGAGCACTCGTCCGGGGCGCAGCACAGACAACGGCGGCGGCGGCGGCGGCGGCGGCGGCGGAGCGAAGCGGAGAGCTTCGGTGGAGGCCACTAGACGTTCGCCATAGAGTCCTGATCGAAGGGATGAGCGAGTATACTCAGAGAAAAATGGCGAGGTAAAAAGAAACACACCATGTCTAAGTTGTAAGTATTTAATCCAGTTGATCAGAATGTAAAACACTTTTAAACAGGTATACCTCGAGTATGTATAACATTTGTATGAAATACATATGTATACTTAAAGGTAAACATTGATGCGTGCCCCTTTAATGCATTCGATCATAACGGATTCTGCCTTCGGTCATATTCGGATCACCCCGAATGCCTAAAACCCGAGTGCGAGCCAAACATTCTCTTGCTGAAATGATATCTGAAATTTGTTTTTTTCAGTGTAAATACATATTTGCAGGCAGAAGGAGAGATACAAAACTAGCAAGTTTGTGCGTTGCTTTCTCGTTCTCTCTACCAGAAAATCAAATGGAGAGAAATGGAGAAAAAAAACTGAAGATTTCGGATATGACACAGTAAAAAGGACGATACCTGCGGCTCGAGGTTTCGGGAAAGCTGAATCGTTCATTCTAACGGACCGAACGAAGCGAATACCGAATACCAAATGCCGAATACTCTAGCTCTAGCGTGTATGAACATATTATGGAACATATGCATGTCTGTATATACAAATGTGTGTATGTATAAGTACTTCATAGAGGAAACTATTATCTATTATCCATTATCCGGAGCAAATCCAATAGTTGTTTATGAGCTTTGGAAAGAGAATACAGTGCTCGACACAAACCCAGATCAAGAGAGCAACAGAAAAACACTCTTTCTGCCATCAGGAACGGAACTCCGACGACTCCGACGACTTCGACGACTTCGACGACTTCGACGACTTCGACGACTTCGACGACTTCGACGACTTCGACGACACCGGCGAACACTAATTGATGGCCATTCTGGCAATCTTCAATGTTCTGCCATGGTCCCTCCCCGGCCACAGACGGAGATGCAATGACATCGCAGCTCTTACACGTTTTTACTTTCGAGGAACGAACGGCGGACCCAGACGAAGCACAATCCGAAAAGTATAAGAAAAACCAGAAACCATCGAGGCGGCATCTGCCACAACAATGCTGCCTCCCAGCAGGAGACCCCAAAGGGGGCAACCACACGATGAGGCTGCTTCGGCTGCTGCTGCTACAATCTCTTTGCCGATACAAATCCACAACGTCTGTCTGACAACAACTGCAACATCGCCAACAACAAGTAAAGACAAATTGTCTACGGGTTGAGGTCTTGCTATTGGCCTCCAGCGTGACGATGTTTGGTGCTACTGGCGCCACTCAGCGCCGCAATCACAGGGGGCAAGGCAAAGCAGTGCAGTGCAGTGCAGTGCAGCGCAGTGCAGTTCAGGGCAGGGCAGGGCAGGGCAGGAGTTGTGCTTATGGCATGTGCCACCCAACCAAACCAATCGAAACCAAATCAAACCACACCAAGCCAAACCGAAAAAAGCCAAAGCAAAGCAAACCAAATACGAATTCAAAACCGAAACCGAAACCGAAGCCGAAGCCGAAGCCGAAACCGAAACAGAATGGAGACAAACGACAAAGCCCGAGATGGCGGGAATGCCTCGAATGATGCAGTTACTCACAGGAACACGACTTCAGTTCAATGCTAATTCCACGGCATCACTCGTTTTTCTTTTACGCTTCGGACCAGTCCGGACGATCTCAATCTGTTCTACAGCGACATATCGGGATCAGCATCTCGGCATCTCGGCATCTCGGCATCTCGGCATCAGCACCAGCCAGTCGTCAAAGAATGAGGGGGTCGAGCGGTTATGCGGTTATGTTGTCTAATACCGGACCGTCCCGAAGATAGATTTGGTAACTGATTTCTCCGAGAAACTCCTTCAGGAATAGTTCATGAATCGGTTCTCGTAATTTTTCTGTGCATTTGTTGAGCTCTTTCCACAACCATTTGTCCGCCTGCCTGTTCCCTTAGACATTTTCTGCATTTCTGCTTGAGTTAATGCCATCTTCGTCACCCACAAAGCCGCACACCCATTTAGTGGCTCATTTACATTCGCAAGGATGCCGCAGCAATGGGACAAATGCAAATGCGAATGCAAAGGCAGAGCAACTGAAGGCTCAATGAACCCCCAGTGACCCCGTTTCCCGCTTCCTGGAGTGCAGTGGAGTGGAGTGGAGTGGAGTGGAGTCTGGGGGAGGTGAATAAGAAGCTTTTTGGTGATGGAAGCATAAAAAGCATAAAAGACGAAATGGAAATCCGTTGGGCTTTTAGCACTTTGAAAAGTGTGAGTTGTATTTTACGGTCCCGCGCTGCACCTCGCTGCAACTCGCTGCACCCCGACACTCTGATGACTTGCGACTTACCTTGCAGAGAGCCACGCCTGTGTCGAGGCGATCCATAAAGTTCTCGGCATTGATGCTTAGCTCGGGATAGAGAGTGCTCAGCCACTCGGCCAGATCCTCCTTCATGGCCTCCAGATACTCCTCGCTGGACTTGAAGGGCCTGTACGGCCGTGCCTCCAACATGGCCATGGTGTGTGTGTGTGAGTGGTGTGTGAAGTGTGATTTGTGGTGTGGGCTCGGGATATGGTATCCCCTTACTGCGGCACCTCGTATCCTCTCGTATCTCTTCCGTTTCACTTTCAAATGGGAGCTGCTGTTGGTGTTTGGCTTTCGCTTTGGCCGCGGTTTCTGCAGAGTTACGTAGGATTCTCGTTATTCAGTGGATGCCAGAGCATCGCGGCTCGATTCGGCTCGGATTATTCTGATATTTCGGATATTTGGGATTATTTAGCTTCTGCAAAGAGAGAGAGATAAGTCTGACATCAAAATGTGTTCTTTTGGGTGACACCTGCAAATCTTGATCCCCCCAATCCCAATAACATGATACTGTATATGTATGTACGTACATATATGTATGTACATAGGTACATTTGTATGGTATGAAATCAGTTTGGCATCAAGTAGATCATAAATTTCAAAAATATTTTGCAGACATTTTACCCGTAGTACTTAATATACCATACCGTTATGCCCCACTCCACCCCACCCCACCACACCCCACCCCTTCACTTGAAAACAGCGGAAAAAGAGCGAAAATTTATGACTGTGCCACTGCAGCTGACATAATTATGGTACGCAAAACCGCAGCAACAATAACATTGCCGCCAGCAACAGAAACAGCGGCAGCAACAGGGGCAGCAAAAACTGCAAAAGCTATACAAATAAAATCAATAAATAAAACATAAAAGTGACTTGCGGCAGTCGTCGGTTACTTGAAAAAGCCCGAACAAAATCAACAGCAAGAGACCCATACCCAATGCCTCATACCCCATATCCCATGCCCAATGCCCCGTGCCCCATGTCCCATGCCCCATGCCCCATGCACCATGCCCCATGCCCCATGCCCCATACGCCAGCCCATTCCCAGACACGGCAGCAACCTCAAGACATGGCTTAAAGGTGGCTAGCTATTGGGTGCCAGGTTAATGGCTCACACGCCAGCTCCGTGCGACGTGCCCCAACTGCAGCCTCAAGTCGCACTTACAATTCCAATTGCAATTCCAATTCCGGCCACTAATTAGCGGTAAACGCAATTGAACTGTGAACTTCAGCCGGGAACAGCTCGACGAGATTAATGTCGTCTGTCTCCCCATTCCCATTCCCATTCCCATTCCCATTCCCATTATGGAAATGGGAACGTTGAGTCGGTGAATCGTTGAATCTCATCCCAAAAGGTAGGTGCTGGGGCCCACAAGGCCATGGCTCGGCCCTTGGCGGAATAGTCATAAAACGCATGGCTTATCTAAGCGTTTATCGTTTATCGTTGCATAAGGATGCTCCGAAAGGATTAACCTTGGCCAGGTCGAAAGAGAAGGAGAAGAAATCTCCCCGGTTGAGCAGACACTGATAACTAACACTGAGGCGTGTCGGAAAAGAGAGAACAGGTTCGACAGTCACTGGAGGGGAGATTAGGCCCTACTTAACGCGGTCTCCCATGGCAGGAGAACAAGAATTTGACTTATAAGAGGAGGTCTATAGAAATGCAGGCTACATTTGAGAAAATTTTAAACAGTTTTAATACGCAAATCACATATTGTCGGGGAAAATATGAGGCAAGAACTTGGAGACAATTGGGGCATATTTTGCGAAGAACACTCGTATATTGAATGGAAAATGGGAAATATCAGGAAATATGTATGGAAAAGATGAGGCAATATGTGTAAATATTATATTATGTATAAATTAACCCTAGGGCATGCCAAAAGATGGTTATGGAAAGTAGCTCCTCCAAGTCCTCCAAGTCAATGGAAACACATCAAACGGCTAATACCACTGTTTCATTAGACTCGGCAGATTCGGCAGATTCGGCAGATTCGGCAGATTCGGCACGTTATTCGTCAAATAACGCGGATGGCGTCGATTTGCTGTGTAAGTTTCCCATAAGCGAACGGCCTCAGCCAGAACCTGCAAGTGGAGCTGCCAGTAAATTGGATAGCCTTCCCAGCTTGTGTTTTACGTTTGGGTCTTGCACAGCTTCGCTTTGGTTGTAACCACATTAGGCACTTGCGTAACACTCACTCCCGATGAGATTGGTCTTAATTAAGGCGAACCGCTTACATATGTACATACGTGTACGAAATCAGCTCTCCCAACAGATTCGCGATCCGCGATCCGCGATCCGCGAATGGATCCGTTGAGCCGACTACCAACTCCGTGTGTACAAGTATTGACTAATTTGGTGCCATTGATGATGATGGGGAATCGATGAATGGTCGTCAGTGGCGGAATGGAGTCAGCTGATTGGAAATTGTAGCTGGACCCCTCAGGGGCCTGACAAATCCGCATTTCATCTCGCGGACGGGGTTGCTGGAATTTCACTTTCATAGACTTGCAAAATATACATACCATATGTACGGGTTCACGGTATATTCGTATTTGTTTGCCTAGATCGATCAATCTATTCCCAGCCACGCCTCCTGCTGGGCTGGGGTGGGGGTGTTGGTGTTGGTGTTGTGGGGGGATGGGGAGAATGAGTGAAAAGACATCGCAGTGCTTTGTTTTTTGCTGGGATATTTCTTTACTTTGTTGCCATATTCATTCGAGACAAACAAATATGCAAATGTTCGCTGGCCTTTTGTTCAACTGATTAGCGGTATTTTTTTTTTTTGAAAGTGAATTTAATTAAAAAGTCCAAAAACACCAAAACGTAAAAACAGCATAGGATGCGTCGACATCATTTCGCTTATAAGGCCCGTCCCATTTCCATTCCCATTCCAATTCCAACTCCAATTCCAATTCCAGCTCCTCTGGTAATTGCATACGCCTCAAAATGTTTTCGGCGATTGTCGATTGCCGGATTGCCGATTGTCGATTGCCGCCACTGCAGCGTCACTATCACTGGATATAGCCTATACCTAATATTTTGTACATTGTATGCGGACTCTCTCGTTTCTTCCGTCATTATATAGACTTATCAGTCCCTTATCTAACCTATTGGAGGCCTTTCCAGCCGATAGCAGGCCTATCTGCTGCTGATAATGATGATGCCCCCTGATGGTCAAAGACATAATCACCACAGGATACTCATATTTATTGATTTGGTATGTTACGTTTCATATGTATTTCTAAAGCGTTTTCTAAAGTCTAAGATCTGTATTCAACATAGGAAGCATTCAACAACTTCTGACATCGGTCAGCATCGAGGGGCAGCAGAATCCCTATCTAGATCCTTTAAGTGAAAATCGTTTGGCCGAATCGATTAGTCATTTCAAGCACAAAAGACTTTCCTGCAGTTTGCTTATTTCATTCCATTCACTTTTCCTTACTCTATTCCTCCTGTAGATTCCTTCTTTTCTTACTGCTTGTCTTCATTGATTGGTCCTTATGCCGAATACTGTTCTCTGATCTGATCGGGCTTCCCTCCGTTTACTCCGCTCTCACCTCTTAGCCCCCTTTAGCCCTAAGCGAAAGTTTTGGCGAGCGAACAACGGCATGCCCTGCTGAATGCTGGCTTTCCTCCATTTCCACTTGCATTTCCACTTGCATTTCCATTTCCACTTCCATTTACACCTCGAAAAGTGTGAATTTCTAAATGACAGTAAAAGTGATCGAGAGAGCGCATGAAAAATACATACATATGTTATAGAAGCCACGAATTCAATTTTTTTTCCGCTGCTGTTGACTTTTTCAATTAACAATTACAAATGACACGTCAGAGATAGAGTTGGGGATCGTTGTAGTGTGGTCATGCGGCAATGCGATATACATAGTTTCACAATGCATTGAAGCATTGGATGGGTGCTGTTGGGTGGGGTTGTTTGGGGCGCTTTGGGGTGGGGGGTATCGATATCCGCGATAGATCCAATGAGAAAGAAATGCAGGTCGCATTTGGTTTCAAGTGTGAGAGCTATTGCACTCAACTCCACTCCACTCCACTCCATTCCATTCCACATCTTTCACACCCCCTTCTCGCGTCCCCACTCATATGTATCACCCTTTTCTTGCCACCCAAACGTTCAATGACACTTGAAGCGACAATCGAAACGATTTCATTTCGAGCAGCAACATTCCCACCCCACACCCTATAAACACACACACACACACACACACACACACACACACACACACACGTCTAGCACTGGCTCCGTGGCTCCGTGGCTCAATGGCACAGCGGGGCCAGGCCTGAACTTGATGCACTCGCATTTGTCAGAAATTTCAGTGCCGACCACAACAACAACGAAAATCACCCATGAACCATGGACCATGGACCATGGACCATGGACCATGATTTTGACAGCAAAAATTCCCCTGGATGCAGCTCTCCATATGTGTACGAGTGCTCCCCATCCAATGGAGCAACAATTTCAGATCTCGTTCAAGTGCAAAAGTTATTTTCACAAGTTATTATCTATCCATTTTCAGCCATTGAGCCAACAATGGTAACAGCACTTGAATGGAGTTCCCTCTCCACGTCCCCCAGTCTCCCAGTCTCTTCTTTGCATGCAAACACATGATTGTTTGGCTTCTTTTATAGCTCCTCCATCTGCATCTGCAGGTCCTCCTCTTTTGTCTCTTGATGCATTGCCATATGGAAAGACTCTCTCTCTCTCTCTCTCTCTCTCTCTCTCTCCCTCTCCCTCTCTCTCTCTCTCGTTCCGGCACTGTCATCATCTCCTATCTCCTAGGAGGTACCCCTATGCCACATTTGCAACACCAAGCATCAAGCATCAAGCATCAAGCATCAACCATCAGGCACTAGGCATCACCATCATTGTCATCGTCACCTCACCCTCAGCCTCAGCCTCTCACCATCTCTAGGCTGCGCATTACGAGTAGGGTAAAAGCACTTGGCGAATTTATGTCCCAGCTTTGTCTCTCATTTAGACGTTCACAGCTAAATCAATAGAGAGACGGACACAAAAGGACAACAGGCAACGCCATTTTGTAGTTTGCTACCGAAGAACTGAACAGTAAAAGCCAGCTGGATGGACAGTTACAATATACATGTATATTGAGTGGACATCATCTCCCTTTGTTCATTTTGAGTCAATATGTTTTAAAAACAAAGAAACGCATTTTAAAAGCTTTCGTCGTGCACATAACAGATCGAGATCGCTTCCTAGTGATCATTTCAGTGTGGAATCACAGAAAAAGTTATCAGGCAGATTTTCGCATGAATCAATTATTGATCAAGCCAATGGATAGCGCATATCTCTCCTCTACCACCTCTCGTAGATGGACAAAACCCTTGGACGAGTGGTCGTCTCTGCGAGCTTTCACTGTAACTATATTTAT